TACATTTTATGTATATTTAATAATTTCCTAGTACCTATACCTAATTCTAATTTAATTTTGTTAACTTTTTTTGTTATTTGTATAATTGTATCTAATATTATTATGTTGTAAGTAACAAACAGAAAAAAAAAATTGAAAAAATGTGTGTTTATTTATTAAACTATTACTCACTTAAATAAATCCATGTGATACAATACTAAATAATAACTATTTGTCTATAATATGGTAATTAATAATTACTAATTATACGTTAAATGTTAATCCACAGACGGAAGTAAAATGTCTAAGGTATAATAATATTATATTATAATTAATTTTATAATATAATCGTCTATGGTATAATATTATGTATCTAACCATCTTGGAGTGCATTTACCACGGTACCATAAGTTACGACTTTAAAAGTGGTCACACTGCTGGGAGGCAATTTGTGCTTCAACCAAAATAAATGTCCAAATAGTACAATGCCATATTCTCTATCTCTATATTACCCTATGGGTGCACCACATAATTTATAGATATTATCTATATCTGTGTCGTGCACAGGAATACAGAATTATTGATTGTATCAGAATTCAGAATCCTGTTGAAATCAGCTAATATTTAAAAATTTTAACAATAAAATATAAATTCTGAAAATTCTTTAGCAATGACTTGTGGCTTAATTAATTTACGCTATTTATGTCTTACGTATTAAATCTYCACGCTTCAGTCTATGATAGAGTAAGTTATTATAAAAAAAATAGTTTGTCATGCTTTAGAGTTTAGGCTACATAGTTCATAGAATTGTAATTTCCAGCTCCCAAACTCATAAGAATTTCTTGACTCTTGGTTTTGCTTATATCATGGAAAAGAGATAATTAATAACAATAATAATAATAATAATCTTACTTTAATATGTTTCAATCACGATTTAAAATAGTACTATCTTAAATCGTGGTTTCAATCATTATAAAATTGATATCTTTGATGAGCCTTGATATCAAGCCATCAAGGCTCTCTAGTCTAGACTATAATTGTGGTATTACACTATTACAAACTTCTTTTTTTGTAATACTTATTAGCACAGTAAGTTGTATAAGGTCCATGATTAGCACAGATGTGATATTAATTTAGCAACATTCATATTATTTAGCTAATGAGTAATGGTTCGACATTTTAAGAATTAGGACAAAAATAACTAAGTAAGTCTAAGTTTGATCTAGTCAATTTACAATAATTAATTAATAAATTACATTTACTGACTACTTTTTTAATGTAATAGTTATTACTTTAAAGTTTTACCTATAATCAAAAGTTTGGTGCACTTCTTAGTCTGTTAAAAATCCTACCTTTTTTATGGCTCAAACTGTGCGTTAAATTTGTTTCGTTTAATTATGCTAGTATACTTTTGTACTTATAGATAGATAACTAGGTATTAAAATAAATTAAGAAAAAATAACCTTATTTAAAAAGTGATAGGCCCAAATATCATTCAATTTATTATTTGAATTGTCAGACTTTTGTCGGTAAAACAGATAAATTTACATAATACTAAATTGAACATCATTTTAAGATAACTTAATATATTTTAACCATTATTTATCTATATGTACTTAAAATTAAACTGCTAGCATAATCAAAGGAAACAAATGTAACACACAGTTTGAGCCATAAAAAAGGTAGGATTTTTAATGGGCTATGAAGTGCACAAGTTCAGCTAGTAGCAATAATATAATAATAACCAACCACCACTAATAGCAACCATTTACAAATAAACAAAAATTTCCATCGTAAATCTCAAAATGTCTCAGCAGTCAGCACCTCTTGGGGTTGGGCCTATCACTTTTTAACTTGGTCTATCTTCTGCCCATAGATCTTATATATCTCTGTACCAAATTTGTCGCAATCTGTCCAGCTGTTTTGGAATGCATAAAAGAAAGACAGACAAAAATCCATTTTTATTTATAAAAATTATTTAATCCAACAATTTATGAATACTATCTATCTAGTTAATAGCAACTATTTAATAGTAAAAAAAAATAAATTGCTTATTCAACAATAGTAGAGTAGTGTAAGCAATATGTTTTTTATTGTAAGCAACTGAGTCGCCAAGACAAGTAGACATTAAATTAAGATGTAGTTAGTCGTCGACTCGTCGTTCATAGGTAACTGATTCGTACAATACTGTGTTACAACATATTCTTTATAAATAATTTAAACAATAAAAGATTTAAAGTTACACAAATTTTCGTGTAGTGTTTGAATTACAACCTGTAAGTTAACAAACTCTTTTCATAACAAAATATACTCTTTGACATTTACTAAACGAGTATATAACAATAAATTCTCAGCATGATTTGAGGTATATCATAATATATAGTTTATAGATTCACTAACCCTTCTCTAAAAATAATAATGATATTTTCAATAAATACTTTTTCTTTTGTTTTGGAATGTTCTACAAAACTATATTCGGAGTTTAAAATATTATATATTTATAGTTATAATATCTAAACTTTAAAATTAAAGCTAATGGCCAAATTTTTCAGGTTTGTGATTAATAAAATAAAAATAAAAAATATAATTTGTACGATTTCTGAGTGGATCAATCAATGTATTAATATAACAATGAATATTATTGGAAGGAACAGTATAATATAAATGTACTTTGATTTTTAACATAATCGTTTCTGTAGGAAAATAAACCTTATAAAAACAATAAGTTAAAAATACCTTGTACTTTTCATAAATCAAGTAGCTTATTTTTTTAAATTTCTAAAATATCAATTTTTTGAGTAAATTTCTTAATTTATTCAAGAAGTAAAAACTTTCAAAATATTATTTTTGGAAATTTTCTGCCATGAGTATATTTCTTGAAATATAATTTTAAAATTTTTTGTTATGGGGGGTCACGTTTTCTTATAACACTGTATGCAGTGTGTTCTACTATAAAGTGAAGGATAAGTTTTTTTCTAGGAAATTGTATTACCGAGAGTGTGCCAAAGTATTGATTTATACATGTTTTATTTATCATATTTTTATTTTTTAAATTTAATTTAATAATATGTTTAAAATATTTAAAATGTTTTTTATACATTAGTTTTTAAAAAGTAACATTCAAAATCACATGGAACGTTGTAAAATTGTAAATAAACTATGGAAAATATGAAAAATACAGCATGCATAAGTCAAAATTTTGACTCGCTCTCATTAAGTCAATTTTGAAGTTAGAAAAAACTTTATAAGTCAAAGTTACTTAAAAAAAATAAAGTAATTTGAACTCTAGAAGAAGGGATACAATTTAAAATAAATTATTTTGTTGGTATTGTGACAAAACTTAAAAAAAAAAATTTAATTCTCAAAAATAAATATATTAGTAAGTTTTTTATGTAGAAAAAAATCCAAATTATACCTTTATTGTTAAACACACAGTATAGTTTTTAAATATTAACTATAATTATAATATGAATTGTTATTTAGGTGACTATGGTGTGATATTGACTTACTGAATCAATACAATATATTACTAATATTTAATAATTGATAATGACGTCAGCTTCCAGCACAAGTGCTAGATCCCTTTTTGGTGATTCCAAAAATTTGTTGAGTGAACGAGTAAAGTTAAACATTAATAATATGTCATCAGTTATCAAGCAAATTCACAGAAGTTCCAAGAGTCATGAAATGTTAAATCAAACTGTCAAAAATCTCGCATTACTAGAATCTAATATTGATCGTACTGAACATAATTTAAATCAGTTAAGAAATGTTTCTACTAATTTCAACCAACAATATGGAGAGTTAAGAAGATCCATACAACTTATTGAAGAAGTAAAGGAACATGTACAAACCATGCAAAGATAAATATATAAATTAAATTAATTTTTAGTAGATGTACATATAAATTTGTGAATGTATTTTATATAATGTAATAATAATCTTAGACAACTTAATTTTTTACATTTTTGTAATATGTGTTTKTTTGAAAGAATAAATATGTATTAATATTAAATAAACAAAGAACTAAGGAGTTGTGGAGTTTCAGGATTTTAAGACAAATTCAATTCAATTAAAAATCAAAAATCAGCCTTTATTATGAAATAATAAAGATCAATCAATTGAATATCTCTGAATTTATCTTGATAAAAAATTAACATGAAAAATGCATATAAATAAAAAAATAAACTAAGCCTATACACAATTAAAAATCTTATACCCCCTAATAAATTACAGTTCAACACTTCAGATTAAATGYTCACTTGTAATATACACATCAATAATAAGACCATTAATTACATATGCATGCCCAATATAGGCAACTGCATCCCAAACAAAAATTACAAACGATACAAAAAAAAATTTTCAGAATACTTCTTAATCCCCATGGTACATGCAAAACACACAACTCCACAACGACACTGGAATACCATATAGATCAATGAAACATTGAAAAATGTTATTCCAAATTAAAAACAATAAAAGCTGTCTTTCACTTTAACATTGGGAGAAAAACCAAAAACCGTAGACTAAAAGCCATTGCTACCACAAAATGTTTTACTTGAAGCATTGAAGCTCAAGAAGAATCCTCATCCAGATTCATAATCAAGCTAAAATGTATCCAAAAACTTATTTGTAAACCATATTAAATTAACTTTATAATATTGTAAAAACATTGTAAAAGCATTGTAAAAATACTTGGTATATTAAAACAATTATATTATCAATAAACTAAAAAAAAAAAGCATTTTAGAATTTTGTTTTCTCACACTGGATGCCATGGCGCGAGGTCAGTAATTTTGAATTCAACAGTTCAACAAATTAGTCCAATCTTAAGTATTACTTCAGACCAACAATGAAAGAATTTGGTTATAATAAAACTAATAGATGATGTATATGTTGATAAATACCTGCTGCAGACCATACATTTGGTCAAAAATTAATCTGATGGAAATATAACATGGTATTATCCTCAAGAACTAGTGAAAAAAGACTAAGTGCCAAATGATAGATTTTACAAAATTGAGTTAAAAGTGGGAGATTGTATCTATTATTTAGTATTAACTGTCTTARTAATTTATAATATTGTATTTCAATTAGAACCCAATATAAGGACTTTATGATTGCAAAAGAAAATAATGAAATTGAAAAATTTGCAGATTGTTGTCAACTATATAACTAAAATTGTTATTCCTGGTTATTTAATTTGTAATATTGACTAAATTTGAACTTACAATAACAAAAAAAAAACTTTTTATAGTTTTTAGATTATTTTTACAGAATTAACTACTTTTGTGGAACCTTATTCATTTCTAAGATTTTAAAATTAAATGTTTTATCAACTCTTAACAACTGAATAATTTGTAAATATTCAATTAAATAAATTTAAACTTTAAACGGTTATAAAAACCATGCCCATGTATTTTTAATATTTTCCAACTGACCAAATGCTATTATATCAAAGACACTTATGGAGAACATCCAAGATTTTTGACCCAATGAATAAAATTGTATTCACATTTATAGAATAAAAACTGAAAATTTCAAAAGTCTATGAATAACTTTAAAGTTGTTGAAATATTTTGAAATATTTATGAACTATAGGAATTGGCTGAATAAACATAAGGTGTACATTTAAAGTTTCTACAGTTATTTGCTAATAATATCGGTACAAGGGAACTTGAGTGAACATCCATTATCCAATGTTGTAATTTAAAAGCTCATAAAAAATGAATTTGACTTTCCAGTAGACATTTCTTAATTGATAAAAGTAGATGACAAACACATGAAGAATCTTGTATTGAATTTTAAAATCATAAATTTAAAATTTAAAATATCTACAAATAACTTAAAAGAATTGAAATGATAGGAAAATTTTATCAAGTATAGAAAATTTTAATACAAACAATTAGTGAAAATTTCATGTATCTACGGTAATTTGTTTTAGAGTTACACCAATATCTAAAATCCATTTTCTCAAAAATTGATTTTGTGTAATAATTAATGATTAGGTACCTAATTTCTAAATTTTTACATTGGAAAAGAAATTCAATTGAAAATATCTACTTTAATTCATAAACTAGGAGATTTTCCCTCTATTTTTGTGGAGATATCAAAGGATGATACATTAAAAAATAAGCCGAAGTACTACACTAGTTCTAATCTAAAGTGAGTAAAAGTGTAGCTAATCATATTTTTAAACTATAGTGATTAATGTGTAATATAAAAAAAAAATGAAAATATGATGAAAAGTTGGGTRTTATAAAATACTAAAAGTCATAAAAAGAGTATTAAATTTAACTTTTTGTTGTTCCTATTAGAAAATTCTAAAAAAGGCGAGGAAAACCTACATGATTAAGAACATACCATTATAGCTGTATGYCTGTATCTTAGTTTTACAGTTATTTTTAACTTTTGGTTTTACGATCTCATCATCTTTACTATTATTTCTGAACGTTTTTAAATTTCACTGACTCAAGCGATGATTTCTAACGATTTTTAATTTAATGAAATGTTTTTGAAAAAGTGATAATTTTYTAAAATGTATATGATAAATTTAATATTGAAACTATTGTGGGTTAATTAAAATATGCGTAGAGTACGATGCATGAGGTGAATGTGAATTTAAAAAACGCGCCAAAACATTTAAACTTAAATTTTCTCTTTATATGGTCATACTGAGAAATTACTGTGTGCTTTCCGTCCCTCGCATTTCTATCGGTACGGTTGGCTCTAATTGTAACCCTCGTTCATATTTGTTGATCGTCTATTCGTGATTCGTCTGACAGCTCTATTTCTTTAGTGTTTGATACAAGTGTTTAACGCCGCTCGTCGTTCATTTTCGGCTTCTTCATCTTGTTGAAGTCACGTTTTTTTTCGCTACTGCAWTTTTACTATTTAAACACGTGTTTTATAGTTAATTTTATATTATTTAATTGTTCGCAATTATTTTTATTATTATTCTTAAGCGATCATAATATACTACCAACAAAATGTGGAGTAAGTATAATATTGTAGGTACTCTGTTTTTATAAACACGTGTGTATCTGTTGAATCTTTTGTATTACGTTTTGTAATTAATGGTAAATCGTTGATACCTATGTATTAATTACTAACTGCGTAGCAATATTAACATTTGTGATGAATAAGTACTTGTGTTTTTGTCATATATAAATTATAAATGTATATTGACTAAACGAACGTTGTTTACTTTACAGGCATAGTAATGGAACCAGGAAAAAAATACAGCACTGTCGTTGAGAACACATTCCATCTGTCTATGGCTACACTTGATTTAGAAACTGTTAAAAAAGGTATGTTTTAAGCGTACATATCAATTTCTGTGTATACCTAAATTATATCCTAATTTGATGTTAGAATCTCACTTAATGAATAGTAATTTACCTTTTATTTTATTCTATTTTTACTGTAACAATTTTATTAGAATATAAATGACCTATGGTCTGCTTGTAATTTAAAATATTTTGATATTGTGCATTATTGATTTTGTTTCTTGATTTATATTTACTAGCCATACTATACAGT